ACGTCACGTTGTAATTGTTACGTCTAGGAATTTGATATAAAAAATGATAAAAAAAAAAAATATGCAACAACGTAAACGAAAAGAAAGAAAGCAAGAACGTATAGAATGTATTTCAATCCACCTCTCTTTTATCACACGTCTTCCCCCTCCCACCCCTTCGCCCCGCAACCCACCAGGAGCACTGGTTATACGACCCCTTCGGCGCCCACAAAGATGAGGCGGGCAACATCTACGGGCGTGGTACTCAGGACATGAAGTGCGTGGGAATTCAGTACCTGGAGGCTCTGAAGCGACTGCAGGAGATGGGCGGCGAGAGTGGGCGGTTTCTGCGCACTGTTCACTTGTCCTTCGTTCCAGGTGGGCGTGTGTGTGTGTGGGGTGGGGTGGGGGGGGGAAGGGTGTGTGTGGGGGGGGTGTGTGGTGGGGGGGTGTGTGTGTGTGTGTGTGTGTGTGTGTGTGTGTGTGTGTGTGTGTGTGTGTGTGTGTGTGTGTGTGTGTGTGTGTGTGTGTGGTGTGTGTGTATGTGTGTGTGTGTGTGTGTGGTGTGTGTGTGTGTGTGTGTGTGTGTTGTGTGTGTTGTGTGTGTGTGTGTGTGTGTGTATGTGTGTGTGAGAGGAGATGAAAGTGGGATGAGTGGAGAGGGGAAGAGGGGAGAGAGTGAGGAAACTCTCCCTTCACTCTCTCTCTCTCTCTCTCTCTCTCTCTCTCTCTCTCTCTCTCTCTCTCTCTCTCTCTCCTCTCTCTCTTCTCTCTCTCTCTCTCTCTTCTCTCTCTCTCTCTCTCTCTCTCATAAAACTCCCCCTTTACCCCAACTCTCCCTTTGACTCCCTTTTTACCCCGACTCTCCCTGTTACCAATTCCTCCTTCACTCTAATCCTCCCACAAAGTCTACCATTACCTAACTCTCCCTTTATCTCCCTTCACTCTAATTATCTCATAAACTCTCCCTTTATCCCCTCTCCCTTCACTTAATTATCCGATAAAATCTCCTTTTCCCCTTAACTAATTATTTCCATAAAACTCTCCCTTTTACTCTCCCTTAACTAATCTATCCATAAACTCTCCCTTTATCTCCCTTAACTAATTATCCCATAAACTCTCCCTTCACTCTTAATTATCCCATAAACTCTCCCTTTATCTCCCTTAACTAATTATCCCATAAACTCTCCCTTTATCCAATCCTTACTCTTATTATCCCATTAACTCTCCTTTATCCCCTTAACTATCCCATAAACTCTCCCTTTACCTCTAATTATCCATAAACTCTCCTTTATCCCCTTAACTATCCCATACACTCTCCCTTTACCCTAACACTCCCTTCACTTAAACGCTCACTTTCCCGCCAGAGGAGGAGCTCGGGGGTCTGCAAGGCATGGGTCGCTTAGTGGACACGGAGACGTTCAAGAGGATGGACGTCGGCGTGGCTCTGGACGAAGGCTACGCGAGCACGACCGACGCCATGAAGGTTTTCTACGGGCAGAGGAATCCCTGGTGTAGGTCTTGGCCTCTTTTTGGTAGATTTTTTGGAAGATGTTTTGTTTTTGTCTTGTGGTAAGTCTTGTGTCCGAATGGTTGCGTTTGATGGATGCGTGTGTATGTGTTTTTTTTTGCTGTTGTTTATTTTATAGGAGGAATGGAGTTTCATATCTCGAGACGACAGATTTTATGGTGACATTTAGCAGTTGAAATGTCAAGATGTTAAGAAAAGAATGAATCTCTCCAGACGGCCGACTTTGCAATAATTCAACAACAGAAACACTTATTTCCGAAAACACATAGTTGCCGGAAAAGATAGATAGATAGAGAGAGAGGGGAGAGGGAGAGAGAGAGAGAGAGAGAGAGAGAGAGAGAGAGAGAGAGGAGAGAGAGAAGAGAGAAGAAAGAAAGAAGAAAGAAAGAAAGAAAGAAAGAAAGAAAGAAAGAAAGAAAGAAGAAAGAAGAAAGAAAGAAAGAAAGAAAGACAGCCATATAAACAGATAGATAAAGACAGAATGCGAGAAAGGAGATAGAGTAGGAGAAATAAAACATATTTGAGTATATGATCTCTTACAAATCACTACCTGGGATCTTTCACCGAAGAAATGCCGGTAGTTCGTAAATATCAAAACCGTTTACATTATTTACCACAAGTTCTCATCACCTACGTTCATCCCACTTTACCCAATACAGGGATCCTGATCAAGTGCCCGGGTCAGCCAGGTCACGGATCGCAGTTCCTTCAAAACACAGCGGGAGAAAAAGTGGCGAAGATCAAATCATCAACTCTTCATGGCATTCCGGAGCAAGAGCTTCGCCCGGTTGGAAGAGGACCCGAGTCTCGCTCTGGGCGACGTCACGACCGTCAACCTCACGAAGCTGGAGGCAAATGGCGCTTTTTCTGATCTAAAGTCGTGTTATTCTAAGAATGCTGTGTAGGCAGTGCTCTTGTGCTTGTATCTGTGCTTGCGCTTTTCGGTGTCGATGTTGAAAAAAAGTCCGTGAATACGACGCTAATGGTGCATTTTTATCAGCTCGCAAATGTGTACACCTTCTTCCCAACTCCCGACAGTATCCTATCTTCCCAACTCCCAACAGTACACCTTCCCAACTCCCAAGTGTACACCTTCTTCCCAACTCCCAAGTGTCTTTCCAGCCCATGTGTACACCTTCCCAACTCCCAACAGTACACCTCCTTCCCAACTCCCAAGTGTACACCCTCCCAGTCCCCATGTGTACACCTTCCCAACTCCCAACAGTACACCTCCTTCCCAACTCCCAGTACAGTCACCCATGTGTACACCTTCCCAACTCCCAAGTGTACACTTTCCCAGTCCCCATGTGTACACCTCCTTCCCAACTCCCAACAGTACACCCACCCTCTCCAACACCCACACAGAACGCCCCCCCCCCCCCTCTGGCAATAACACCCGCGTCTCCTCTCTCCACAGCGGCGTGCAGTTCAACGTTGTCCCGCCGAGCTGTGCGTGGGCTTCGACGTCCGCATCCCGCCGTCGGAGATCGAGGTCTTCCAGAAGAGACTCGACGGGTGGTGCGAGGAGGCGGGGGAGGGGATCACGTACGAGTTTGGGCAGAAGGTGAGGGAGGGAGGGAGAGGGAGAGGGGGGGAGAGGGAGGAGGGGGGTAGGAGGAAGGGAGATGAAAATGAGGGGAAAGGGAGGGAGAGGGAGGGCGGGGGGGGGTGTAGGAGGAAGGGAGATGGAGGGCAAAGGGAGGGAGGGAGGGAGGGGTGGTGGGGTCGGAGGAAGGGAGATGAAATGAGGGAAAGGGGAGAGGGAGGAGGGGGGGTAGGAGGAAAGGAGATGAACAGGGAGGAGGGGGGGTAGGAGAGGGAGATGAATAAATGGAGGGAGGGAGGGAGGGAGGGAGGGGGGGGTAGGGAGAGAAGGGAGATGAATAATGAGGAAAGGGAGGGAAAGGAGGGAGGGGGGGGTAGAGGAGAGGGAGATGAAAATGAGGGAAAGGGAGGGAAGGTCGGAGGAGGCGGGGGTGTAGGAGGAAGGGAGATGAAAATGGAAGGGAAGGGAGGGAAGGGGGGGGGTAGGAGGAAGGGAGATGAAAAATGAGGAAGGAGGAGAGGGAGGGAGGGGGGGTAGGAGGAAGGAGATGAAAATGAGGGAGGGGAGAGGGAGGGAGGGGGGGGGTAGGAGGAGGGAGATGAAAATGAGGGAAAGGAGGGAGGGAGGGAGGGGGGGGGGTAGGATGAAGGGAGATGAAAATGAGGGAAAGGGAGGGAGAGGGAAGGGAGGGGGGGGTAGGAGGAAGGGAGATGAAAATGAGGGAAGGGAGGGAAGAGGGAGGGAGGGGGGGGTAGGAGGAAGGGGAGATGAAAATGAGGGAAAGGGAGGGGAGGAGGGAGGGGGGGGTAGGAGGAAGGGAGATGAAAATGAGGGAAGGGAGGGAGAGAGAGAATACGCAGGAAGAGATGGTGAGGTAGGTGAGAGAGGTAGTGAGGGAGAGAAAAGGGACGGGAGGAACACAAAAGAAAATCGAAGGAAGACAGATGTAATCGGAGAGTAAAATACTCCCTTTCTGTCGTAAATAAGAAAAAAAATAACATAATACATTCCCCGTAAAGCGAAGACACAAATAGTTTCCAATAGTAGAAAGAACCACCCACATGTAATGAACACATCAAAACAGTCTTCAGAAAGGCGCCATTACATCTCTCGCACTGAAGAATAAATCATTAACACACATACCTCTTTTCCCAAACATATGCCCAAAAAGAATTGCACAGAATTACTCTAATTTTTATTCTCCTCGTCCATAGGTCATGGAGAAAGCTGTGACGTGTGTTGAAGACGGGAAGAACCCCTGGTGGGACGCCTTCTCGGCCGCCTGCAAGAAAATGTAGGTAGAAGCATAGATATTCCCTATTATTTGTTTAATTTTTCAGCATAGATATTCCCTTTTATTTTTTACATTTTTCAACTTCAGGAGCAACATCTTTTGTGACATGTGGAGTGTGGAATGAGCGAAGGGAGTGGAGTATCATGTATGTATATTTGTATTTCTTTTTTTTTTATCTGTATTTGTTTTTTTTTTTCTTCTTTTAGGGGCGTTGTTTTGGAGAAAGAAATATTCCCGGCTTCAACAGACATGAAATATATCAGGAAGGTACGTGAAATAATATAATACGATTTTTTTCTGGGTAACAACAACCTCCATTATGAAGTTACGTGATATAACACATCATGTTTCCTATCAAGTAATCTGTTTTCATTCAGCAGCTGATACAAAAAAACAACAACAACAAAAACAAACAAACAGGATACGACTATCTTTCCGAACTGGAATAAAACACTTAAATAAGAAAGACTTAAAATAGACGCAAAGAAAAAAAAGAAAGAGAAAAAAATACTCACCCAGAAATGTAGACAAACAGACAGACACGCAAAGACAGGACAGAACAGACAAACAGACAGACAAACAGACAGACACGCAAAGAACAGACAAACAGACAGACACGCAGACCAGACAAACAGACAGACACGCAAAGA